TGAACCATTAAATTTGAGTTAATACAAGGACTGCCTTGATGAGTTGAAGCTTGATTGTATATGATAAGGATCTAGAAGGCCAGTGAGTTACTCTATGAGGGATTTTCTCAATCAAAAGACTGCAATGAGATGCCTTTAAATTGGTGGATAACAAGAACTCCAAGGTAGAGCATCAACACCAATGCCAAGTAAATTGAAATGTTTATGTGTTGGTTAATTCCAAAGAAAAACACATTACTCTTGGATAGATTGACTTCAAGTCCGAACATTGAGCAGAAGTTATCAAAAGCAGACTTAAAAACAGAGATAGAGGTGAAGTCTCCATGACACAAAAGTTGGAGATCATTGGCATATGATAAGTGAGTAATTTTGAGTTATCTACACCTCCAATGATACTTGAAAGCATGAGCTCTTCTAACAAATTAAGTTGTTGATAATTGAACGCAGTGCATCCATTACAATAACAAAAAGAAAGGGTGAGATAGGATCACCTTGTCTCAGCCCTCTTTTGCCCTTGAAGAAGCCTTGGAACTCACAGTTCAGTGCAATGGTGAATAATAGTGATAAGATGAAAGCCTGTTCCAGTGAGATGAATTTGGGGGGAAAGTTAAGAAGTGTGAGGAAGGACGTGATGAAATCTCATTTCATTGAATCAAATGCCTTCCTCAGGTGAATTTTGATGGCACATCTTGCTGAAGTAGAATCCCTGTGATACCCCCTTAGTAACTCATGGCCAGAAAGATAGGGTCAGTAATCTTCCTTCCTTGAATGAAAGCTGATTAAGATGAGTCAATGATGTGTGGGAGTGAGTTTTGTAGTCTATGCACTTATAGATTGTATTACAACATGATATTGGCCTTTAGTCATATAGGAGGTTGGATTCTGACATTTAGGAACCAGGGATATGTATGTGTTAGCTTCTGCGAGTAATTTCTCATTTCTGAAGAACTCTGGGATGGCATTAGTGTCAGATCTACCAACAATACCCCATGCTTTTTGGAAAGAAAAAAAAAAAAAAAAAAAAAAAAAAAAAAAACATTAGAACGATCTGGGCCTTATGTTTTGTCTCTATTAAGGTTGAACATACACATTTGAATGTCCAGGTTTGAAGGGATTTCCTCCACGTAACTGTGCAGGTGAAGGGGGACTTGTTTAATGATGAATGGTTGAAAATCAGATAGAGAATGTATTGCAGGAGGTGACCATCCAAGTAATTTTTCAAAATGGGATACCAATTCATGCTTAATCATCTTCATATCCTCAATAGGATGACCAGCATCAAAGGTGAGGGAAACTATCTTCTTCTTGTTATTTCTGGATAAAAAGGATTTATGGAAAAATGATGAGTTGTAATCACCCAATCTCAACTAGTCCATTCTTGATTTCTGTCTCAATATGTCTTGCTGGATCTTGTTCAACCTGAGCTACTCCTTGATGATGCATCTCTTTAACTATCTTAGATCAATGTCAGATGGTGAGTCATCAGGATGAAGTGTGTTGGACTAATAATTTACATGCACTATAGGACTAAGGCACAAAACCCTCCACAAGAGGGGATCCGAAAATCGATGGGTGAGATTCAAATGGGGACAAAATGAATGTATAAATTATTATTATTATTTTTGAAAGGTAATGTATAAACTATTGGTCCAGGAAAAAAATTGTATAAATTATTGGTCCAGGAAATATACATATAAATTATTTGTGAAGACTAAACAAATAAATTAAAAATAATAATTAAATACTATATATCAATTTTGGGTTTTTGCTGTGTAAATTTTAATTTACACATACTAGAGTTTGGAGGGCTGGAAGAGAGAAAATAAAAATAAATAAATAAATAATGTTATACACACTATTATTAGAAAGTCGATTCTGTTTAATTGTTTAATATATATATATATATATTGAACTCTATCAACGGTTCTACCCAAACATCTCAAGTATGCAATCATAAAAATAATAGTCGTGATACTCAAGCAGAAAGATTAGACCGATTAATATGGCAATTAAATGGTCCCACTAACATGTCCATTAAAACAACATGAATTTTCAAAGACAAAACTACCCTTATATTGCCTTCTTAATTGTATTCATCCTCCCTTTTTTAAGATCACTTAATTGAGATCATTGTTTAAAAAACAACTATAATTAAAATTCCTTTAAATTCATATATATATATATAAATTTCTAAAAAGAAATCATCAATATATATATATAACATAAAATAAATAAATAAGTTTATAAAATTTTCATCATAACTTAACAAAAAAAAAAAAAAAAAAGTGGTTCCAGTCTGTATGCAGAGAGTTCTTATTTATATATATATAACATAAAATAAATAAATAAGTTTATAAAATTTTCATCATAACTTAAAAAAAAAAAAAAGAAAAGTGGTTCCAGTTTGTATGCAGAGAGTTCTTATTTATGATCAACACTCTTTTGCATGAAACTGACAACAAACTGAATGGACTCGTCGATTGAGTGACGGATCTAAAGAACCGAGTTGATCAACTTGAAGAGGAGAGAAAGAGAGAATGCCACCGTGGAAAAGGAAGTGGTCTCTCAGGGCAACCTAATGGCTGAAACGGTGATGAAGGTCATGGAGATGGTAATAAGTACTGTAAAGTGATATATTTGTGTATCTTGTTCGGGAATCAATGATGGTAATGGAGAAAAGTGTGAGAAATCGAAGAAAATAAAGAATAGTTTGACTATGGAATAAAGATGAATGAATAGAGATATTATTGGTAATTGAGATTCTTTGTTAATTGGGATTACGTAAGAATAATTATCTTTAAAATTTTATCTTTCTAAGTATAGTGTAATTATAATGACACATCACCGTTAATATGAATTTTAGATCTGAATATTTGGTGCAAATATCATTTTTCTAAAAGCTAAAAGTAACACGTACAAAAGAAAAAGTAAAGGGCCAACATGTATATTCATGGCACATATAAGTACGGACACACTTTGAAAGGTTCAGGAGGACAGTTGAAGATTCCATGCAAATTCCAATATATATAAAGTACGGTAGTCACTAAAATTGGAAATGTAGGTAAGACCATAAGAAAATTAAATGTAGGTAAGACCATAAGAAAATTAAATGTAGGTCTGAATATTACAAATGTCAATGCATGAATAAAAGTATTACCTACTAAATTCAAGAAGTGTTCGATAGAAATATTATTATTTGGTGTGACTTATGTTTTCTTTAGTCCTTTTAGCGTCAAGTATGGATATTGCTGCTGCTCATCGTTAGGAGACTGTAAGAATGGTTGAGATGTCAAGAAACCGAACTAAAGAATTAATCCATAGGAAATTTATCGTGAATCTCAACAATCTTAATATTTTACTTAAAAGTTTAAATTATTTTATAGTGCTGCATATTCACTTATTTATAATCATTTCACTTTCTATCCAAATCCGATGTGAGACAAATATCTCTTGTAATATTTTTGAACCCGCAATGCCCTCGTTGCGGTTCGACCACCCTGCCTACCTAGATGGGCTCACCCGAACATCTCCGGACCGAGCCATTGACGTGACACCGAATTAAGGATTGGGTCTGACCTTGATACTAACTGTAACGGTTGGACGCTTACTTATTTATGCAAAAGTTTAAGATATTAAGTAGTGTTACATATCTGTCTATTTTATTTACCATTTAGATCCGATGTGGGACAAATACACCATATATCTCTTTAAAAACTCTCTCTCTCTCTCTCTCTCTCTTCCATTCCTTTTCTTGAATTTAATTTGTCTTGAAAATCTAAGGATTATTAATTATCGAAAAAAAAAAATCTAAGGATTATTGTGATTGGTTTTCAAACTAATCACAACATCAAATAAAATTTTAAAAAATACAACATTTATTTTGATAGATTCAAAATCAATTACAAAAGTCCCTGGAGTGTTGTAATTGATTTTGAATCGATCACGTGGGCCCCATAGCTAAATCTTTTGAAGTAAGTCCCAAATGATCAACTCAGCCAATTCAGAATAAGTAACTACTTAATATAAATAACAATGCCAGAGTTGGTGCTACTAATTATAAGTAATCAATATTGTAACCCAAAAAAAAAAAAAAATTTGTAAATAAAAACTCAAAACTATAATCTCCCAAACTATATAAAATATTTATAATAAATAACTCACTATCTAAATGTGATCCAGTGATTAGTTAGTTCTGAATTTTGATCCATGAAGAGTCCCATGCTTGTCAAATTTGTATTTAACGTGATTGTTGTTTTTCGTTTATGCTAATGCTTTGTTAAAAATGATCCAAAATCTTTTTTTTGCTTTTCGAAAAAGTATACAGTATTCAAAATCTTACCTACAACTCAACAATTAATGAACTTGTAATAATTATAAAAAATTAAGAATTTTCTGATATTTCCTCAACTTCTCAAAATATGATGTTAAAATTAATAAATTTTAAAGCCGAAGAATTGACTCTAGAAACTTGAAGAAATCTTTGGCAATTGCGGACGCATTCCTTGGTTGAAATTTTCAAAATCATTACTTGCAATTAAGCACCCAGACACGAGTTCTTCGTTTGAGTTCAGTTTCTTGGCGTCTCACTCTTATCCTGCTTAGATAACTCAATAATTACGTAGGTAGTTTTGATTTTTTCAATCATTGAGTTTTTCATTACACCAACTTACAATTTTCTTATGGTCTAACCAACAAGTCTCGTGTATACACCGAGTAGGTGACTAGTGAGCGCTGTGCAGTATATTTCAATTTGAAATGGTCAACTTTGACACGTATCTACGCGATAAACTAAAATGTTCAACTTTAATTTCCATTGGACATGTCTACGCAACACAATTTATTGTACATACATTAAAAACTATTGTCAAAAATTTGAATTAGAAAAGTCTCAAAACCAAAGTGAATCTATAAATACCCTAACCATGCTATATCAATGAGCATATATATTCAAGTGTCCAATACTATTTCATAGCTTCAAAAACTACCTCCATTTTCTCCCTCAACTCTTAAAACTCTCTCTCTCTCTCTCTCTCTCTCTAATTCCTTCTCCTGAATCTTATCATGGAACTAGGACCAAAATCACCCTTGCAACCACCAACTTATGGAAAAGTAATCACTGTTCTTAGCATTGATGGAGGTGGCATAAGAGGGATTATCCCTGGGATAATTCTAGGCTTTCTAGAGTCACAACTCCAGGTATATATATATAAACTATAAATATATATATATATATATCTCTTCAAAGAGGGCATAATTTTTTACGACCAATGCGACTATGTTCCTCCAATTTGTAGCAAAATGCTACCACTAGGTAATTAGTCATACAAATAAAATCACTACTATTTCAAAAGGGAGGTGAGGGTTCAAGCCCCACATGCTTGCAATAATGCGGGTGTGTGTGAGAGTTTACCTAATCAAAAATAAACTTTGTAGTAAAATTAAAACTCTCTTTTTTTTTTCTTTTTTTTTTTTTTATTTATTTATCTCATGCATGCATCAACTAAGCCCCATAAATAACAATAATTTTTTTTTGAAAGGTGATAAATAACTATTAAATTCTGCTTTTCTATTTTCCATATATATATATATATATATATATATATATATATATATATATCTCTTAATTCATGCATGATGATTTGGCCTGGTGTGGTGCAGAAACTGGATGGTGAGGATGCAAGAATTGCAGACTATTTCGACGTGATTGCAGGAACAAGCACCGGTGGTATTGTGACCGCCATGTTAACTACACCAAATGAAGAGAACAGCCGCCCTAAATTTGCTGCCAAAGACATCAAGGAGTTCTATCTTGAACATTGCCCTAAAATCTTCCCTCAGGAAAGGTAATGAGCTTGACCCTGAATGTCTTGCCAATACGATCACTGTATAATCAACATATATTATGCTATTATCTAGTATCTAGTAATAATACTAAAATTGTCATGGTTTCATTTGCAGTGGTCGATTTGCTCATGGTACAAAAATCATCAAGGCCCTCTCAGGACCAAAATATGATGGCAAGTATCTCCACAATATTGTAAGGGAAAAATTGGGAAACACGCGGTTGCATGAAACATTAACTAATGTTGTGATCCCTACTTTTGATATCAAGAGACTCCAGCCAACTATCTTCTCAAGCTATCAGGTACATGTCTATGTGCATGTGTATTTGACATATATTGGCTCTTTTTTCATTTTACAACTCTAAATATCCGATTTTCAATTAAACTTGATTGATTAATACTTATAGATATATATATATTATCATTTTCATGGTTTAGGTGAAGAACAATCCATGCTTAGATGCCTTGCTCTCCGACATTTGCATATCAACTTCAGCTGCCCCGACCTATCTTCCTGCCCATAACTTCAAAACCAGTGATTCCTCTGGAAAAGTGAGAGAATTCAATCTTATTGACGGCAGTGTAGCAGCTAATAATCCGGTATGGACTAATTAAATTGACATTGATTTTTACCATTTGAGGATTGTCTTAGCAAATGAAAATCCTGATGATAAATTATTTTTGGTTTCAGGCTTTGGTGGCGATGGGTGAAGTGACAAAGGAGATTAACAGGGGCAATTCTGACTTCACTTCTATAAATCCGGACTATGATAGGTTCATTGTTGTATCCTTAGGGACTGGTACAGCGAAAGCAGAAGAAAAATATGATGCAGATGAAGCAGCAAAATGGGGTGTTTTGGGATGGTTGACAAGTGATGGTTCTACTCCATTAGTGGATGTGTTTACTCAAGCAAGTGGTGATATGGTTGACTTCCACATTTCAACTGTTTTTCAAGCCCTTCGCTCTGAAGAAAATTACCTTCGGATTCAGGTATTAACATATATACATTTTCAACTTTGTATTATTATGTTTCTTTAGTTCAATTTATATACATTCCAAATTAAATTTTGTCATTTAAAATTTTTGTTAAAAAAAAATGCAGGATGACACATTAAGTGGGATAGTGTCATCGGTCGATATTGCAACCAAAGAGAACTTAGATGATCTAGTGAAAGTTGGGGAAGAACTGTTGAAGAAACCAGTTTCAAAGGTGAATTTAGAGACCGGTGTCTGTGAACCGTTTAACAAGGGTACTAATGAGGAGGCACTTATAAGGTATATGTCAAACAATCAATATTGTATTCAATTAATTTGCTTGAAATTTTGGGAGAAAAATATTGTATGTTATCAAACCAAAATGATATATCAGTGTCTCATTAATTAGTTAAATTACTCCAATTAATTCATGTATATAGTGTTTGTTTAATATCTGTAGGTTGGCAGAAACTCTATCCAAGGAGAAGCAGCTTCGCGATACCAGATCACCACGTGTTGCGAAGTCGAACTAATAAATTTTTCAACATTAATTTATTTCATTAATTAAATATATTCATTGTTTGAATAAGTCATGGTTATGCCATTGTAGGTGACAAGAGTCATTTGAAATTCCTTTTGTGTAAGTAATTTGAATAAATTCACATTTATTATTTTGTAATTCTTAGACATATGAGTGCTAATTATGCCATTTCGCTCATTGTAATTCATAATTCATCGTATGAGTAAGTCATGGATATTCCATTGTAGGTGACAAGACTTGTTTGTAATTTTTTTTGTAAGTTATTTGAATAAATTCATATTTATTGATTGGAATTACATTGTCATTTTTCTTTATCAAGCAAGTTGGGATTGCTGTACTTCAGATGTTGATCCAGAGGTAGAAGAGAGATATTGATGGTTGAAGCGAGGCGACGAATTAGATATAGTTATGAGAGAGTAGTGATGCAAAAAAAAGAGTTTGTGAGAAAGATATATAACAACAAATAATACAAATGCTTTTAATTCTTCTTTTTTTAAGGGCCATGTTTACAATTTTATAAATTATACGTACAAAATTAAAATATCAACAAAAGTTAATTGTTCAGCCAGTTGCTTCCACTTATGTTAATGGATTGGATTTGGACCGGATCTGCGAATTCCTTAAGCATTTTAGTCAATCTGATCTGATCCGATAATTCGACAGATTTTTTGCAAGTGAATAAATATCTGATTTGTTAATAAAACAGATATCCGATCCGATAATCCGATTGATAAGTGTAATTTTTTTATATAAATAAGAAAAAATAAAAGAAATTAATGTCAAAAACCGAATAAAAACAATAATTAGATAAAAATGATTAAAAAATAAAAGATAAATAAAATATGAAAGCTAAAAAAAAAGAGTTCATTTACTCTTTGTTAATTAATAAACATTATTACATTTGAAGTTTTTACCATTCAGAATGCTAATCTTCAAGATATTGTCAATTAATTTTCTGGTGCTGTCATGGCTGATTACGTCGTTGTTTTTGCTGTTGGAGGTTTTGATATTGCAGACAATTCTTGATAACTGTTTTATTTTGTTTTCTTTATGTTATGGTAGTGGGTTTTGTCCCCTAATCCAATGTTTTTTATTTTCTTTTCTGAGTTTATGGGTATCCAATCTCTCTTGAGAGTTTAATCTTTCTGAGGGGATGCCTTCTGTGTACGTATATATATTTTTTCTTTTCTTTTTACACAATCACAATTAAGAAAAAATATATATTATTATATATATTAAGAGATTTATTCATATGGGGTGAGAACATCGTACTATTGCACATATAACATTATGATTAATTTTTTATTTTTATTTTTATTACCTTTAAATTCTAATACAATTCTGATAAGAGTATATATATATATATATATATATATATATATATAATTTAAAATATTATTATATATATAATTTTATTGAGATCGGATCAATATAATTTTATTCGGTGAGCTCCAAGATTATGCAAAACACACTTTAGTTTGGCGCATTCCATTTCGGCGAAAACCATTTCAATCCGGTTGTTGTGGTCCAAATTTTCGTTCAATTCATTCTCATCGAGCAACTACATCACCACTGCCATCAACCGAGCTCGCCTTTTCTCACTAGCCTTGCTTCCTCCTTGCTCGTTGCCGGTTGCTTCCTCCTTGCAACCGGCCTTGCGTTCTCCTTGCTCTCCATCATCTTCCCCGCCGTCCTTGTGTCCGCCGGTCACATTCTTGCTGGCTGTTGTGGGTTTGAAACAATGTTACTAGGTTGGGGGGAGAATGTAGGATATCATTTGGAAAGGGTAATAAAAAAAGAAGGGCAATTTGAACCATAAAAAAATTTAAATAGTGTTAGCAACAGTGATGACAACTTAGGTATAACGAACTATTCAAAAAAAAAAAAAACAAAAAAAAAACCTTAGGTATAACTAAACAAGATTGCTAGCGACAACTGTAGATCCACACGATGATTGATTGAAAAACAATCACAAAACTCATGGGTTTCTTGTGATTGGTAAAATATAAAATAAATAAATAAAAAAATGCAATATTTATTTTGATCGGTTGAAAATCAATTGCAAAAGATTTTGGATCAATCATTAGGGGTGGATAATGAGTGCTCAAATGTGATGCATTTTAGCACCTAAGTGAGGTTATTTTAATCCATTCATCTATCTTTATTTTTTGCATTTTAGTACTTATTTGTGTTTTTATCTATTTCAGGTCAATTAGGTTTATACGGGCTAAAAATGGTCTATTACAGCCTTTTTGGAGTCAAGCAAAAATTCCGAGAAGATTTCAGAAAAATCCAAAAAAGGTTAAAAATGCAGAATTTCGCCACCAGTGGATTTGGATCGATCGATCGAAAATGTGCTGGCAGTGAGCTGTTTTATTCCTGCGCGCCCAAACTCCACCTACCACATAGTTGCGGGATTAGATATTTTAAGGGCTTATTTTCTGACTTGTTCACTACTCCAAGAACTTTGTATTTAAGGAGAATTGAACTATTTTGTAAAAAATCTTTTGTCTTCAATTTTATTTCATTGTTACAATTAGTTTCTCTTTCTAGAAAAGCTAGAGATTAGGGTTAAAAGAAAAGAGAAGAGTGGAGGCACTAAGAACACATCTTAAGATTTACACATACACTCTCTCTAGAATTCAACAAAGAAGAAGAGGACAAAGATGGAGCCATGTTTGGGGATTGCCCTTGAGGGTTCCAAGATCACACCCATATGATACCCCCAAATTTTCACGTGTAGGTTGGCCAGGCCCACACTTGAAAACACGGTAATATCAAAACAATTTAGTATTTAAACGAACATAGAATACAAGAAGAATAAAAAGAATGAATAAATCGCTAAACGAAATTCTATTAATAAAATAAAACCTCCTTGATAAAAATAAATTCCATAAATTTAAAATTCTAAAATACAACTCGGGAATCCTATAAGTCAAGGATCCCTAAACCATAAACTATTAATTCACTAGATATCTAATAATAAATAAAAATACTAAAAAGTAAATAAGATGAGTAGATGAATGACAGTCTCTCAGTTGTGGATCCTCAACCTCGAGACTAAAACTTCTAATAACCTGAAAAATAAATCGTGGGTTAGACTCACGAGCAAGTTCCCTCTACCAAACCTCTAAAAACCAATAAATAAAACATCTCTAACCAAAATCATCCTAATTAAAGTTTTAACATTTAATATAAGATGATACATATATAATATATAAAGAACATGTTCATTCATATGTTTCTTTAAATCCAAGATCATAAATAATGATAAGACTACCTCCATATTAAAACTAACCATCAAGTACATTCCACTTTTAAGAAAAAAACTCTTTTAAACCTAAATTTCATATTTAAACAGTTATTTAATCATTTAAATAATAAATAATAATCCAAGGAATATTTTCCTTTAATCCAAATCTTAATATCCACCAATGTATGATTTTATTTATAAAGATTATGTAACAAAGATCTATACTTTGGCAACTCTTCCATGCCTTCGCTAATATTATTTTATTAATACTATAAAATAATATATTATCTTTTAAACATTAGTTTATTCTAATATAAGAATAATTATCACCTCCAACTTATAAACATAATATCCATAGATGTATATTTAATCATCTAACTTACCTAACAATTTATTTATAATTTAACAACTCATCCATGCCTCCACAAATATTTATTTATGTTTTGGCAAATCAACCATGCCTCTAAAAGTATGTTTATTTATACTATAACAATTCAACCATGCCTCTATAAGTAATTTATTTATACTTTGGCAAATCAACCATGCATGTTAAATGACAATCTGTTTATGTCTTGGCAACTCATCCATGCCTCTAAAAGTATGTTTTTATCCATACTATTAATTAGCAATTCATCCATGCTTCCTATGTATGTATTTTATTCATACAATTAATAAGACAATTTATTTATATTTTTAGCAACTCATCCATGCCTCCAATTTAACCATGTACCAAACTTTACAATTAACTATGAAATGAATCATACATAGACACTTCATGCAAGTTATAAGCATAAAATTAATTTAAATAAACAACCTATTATGATTTCATCAACACCACCATCACATATATAAACATATTAAATATCAATGAACAACTTACTAGTTGATTAGGTTATATTTATTTATTTATGTGTAGTAGTATAACATGTAGGCGTATATAACACGTAGGTTACACAATCTAGCAATGTCCAAATAACACATTACACATTAAATAAAAATATTACGAATTATTTGGTCAACACCCAACCAATATAAATTATCTAAATTGGTTAAAACAATTATGGGATAAGATATATATACATATACAAAATTCGTACTGTCTTCCAACTCAATTTTGGCAAGGTAAACCTCTGTTTTACAAAATTTTCGTGAAATACAAAATTGCGGATAATTGAATTTCCATTCAACTATGCGGGATTTGAGCCATTTTGACACTCGAAGAAAGAGATACAGTCAAAATATTAAAATGGGAATTGGAGAAAGTTTCCTAATTAAAGAAGGATTCTTCCTTTTCTTCTAATCAATTTCTTCACATGCATTTATCATATGTCTAGGTGATTAACATACTAATTTAATCTATAGATTTTGATACCCAAGGTGATAAACTTATGGGTTCTAAGAGGAGAGTTAGAAAAGAACTTGCCTGAAGGTTTCGAAACAAAATCGACACTTCAACCTTGGTTGTCTCTTCCAAATCCGACGTCCTCTTTCTCTGATCCGGTCTTTCTTTATCAGCCTTCCCTTCTTCGTTTTCTCTGATTCTCTTGTTTTTTTTTCTAACGTGAAAAACCTTTTAACAATATAACCTTATGTGTATATTTAAACATATTAATACCCTAATCCTATTCCTAGTATGACTATCCAAATAACAAATTATAATAATCTTAAATAAAATATATACACATATATTATATTATATATATAATTATTTATTATATATATATTCCTCACCCAATAAAAATAAATAATATATATTGTCAATCCTCCTCCACGTAGAACTCTAACAATATTAATATACATAAAACATATAAATATAAATATATATATTATGTAATATATATTTATAAATCCTTTTTAACTATACTTACCATATATATGCATATAGTCCTATACATATATACTTACTATAAATATATGATTCTCTATATAATTATATATATATAATCCATTTAATATATATATATATATATACTCATGCATAAATCCATAGGTTTTTAAGCCATCCAAAATCCTTGGAGGTTTCCTTCTCCAGCCCAAGAC